GAAGCAAAATAATCGGAAATACTGATCAATTTTTCTCCATTTATAAGCTTAAAAACAGCAGCCCCCATGCTTCAGCCTATGCAGATGTTTAAAAATAAATTAATCCATTAAAATGAGTTTATAATAGAAATCCTTTCAGAACTTTAATTGTAACAATGGCTAGAGGTGCTTAGCCACTGACTTCCAAAAGTTCAGCGCTTTGACTTTCTTTAAAACTTCAGCAACGAACATGTACTGCTTAATATTATTATTTTAATTTAAATTATTTTAATAGTCTTAACATTATAATCTAACATAGGTTGTCGTAATTTCTAATTTAATTTTAAATAGATTTATTTTTAAAAACCTGTATTTAATTTAAATTAAAAAAATCCAATTTGTAATTTTTATCCATCATACACCGGACCCTCGCTAGAACGTGCGTCTATATAGCGCAAATTCGCATATAACACGGCCGTGGCCATGGATCCCAAATTTAATTACTTTAATTGCAATTCATTTTAACACGGTCCCCGCGTTAACGCAGCACAGCGCATGGATCCCAAATCCCGCGTTCTAGCAAGGGTCCGGTGTATTTTGCTTACCTCCAGCTCAGAGATTAGATGTTTTTATATTTTAAAAAATGACAGATTAATATATCTTCTAGTTCAGTGGTTCTCAAACTTTAGCAAACCGAGGCCCACCCTTTTGATTAAAAAAAGTGGGGACCCCGTCCCACCCCTTCGCCGAAGCCCCGCCCCTGCCCTGACTGTTCTCCAAAACCCCGCCTCCCGCTCGCTCCATCCACCCTCCCTCTGTCACTCGCTCTCCCCCACCCTCACTCACTTTCACTGGGCTGAGGAAGGGGGTTGGGGTGTGTGTGGGGGGGTGACGGTGAGGGCTATGGCTGGGGATATAGGCTCTGGGGTGGGGCCAGGGATGAGGGGGGTGGGCTCCAGGAGGGAGCTCAGGGCTGGGGCAGGGATTGGGGTATGGGAGGTGGCTGAGAGTCCCGGCTGGAGGTTCAGGCTCTGGGCTGGGGCAGGTGGTTGGGGTACTAGAGGGGGCTCCGGGCTGGGGTAAGGGTGACGGAGGGGGCTGAGGGCTCCGGCTGGGAGTGCAGGCTCTGGGATGGGGCCAGGGATGAGGGGATTGGGATACAGAAGGTGGCTCCAGGCTGGGGTAGGGGGTTGGGGTGCAGGGGAGGGGTGAGGACTCCGGCTGGGGGTGGGTGTTCTCTGGGATGGGGCCGGGGATGTGGGGTTTGGGGTGCAGAAGCAGGCTCAGGGCTGAGGGTTCAGGGGGTGCAGGCTCCGGGAGACAGCTTGGGTGTGGGAGGGGACTCTGGGCTGGGGCAGAGGGTTGGGGTGTGGAAGTGGGTTTGGGGTCCCAGCGGCGCTTACAGCAGCTCACAGGAAGCAGCTGCCAGGTCCCTGCAGCCCCATGGCGCATGGGCAGCCAGTGAGGCTCCGCATGCTGCGCTCGTGCCCGCAGGTGCCACCTGCGCAGCTCCCATTGGTCGTGGATCCCGGCCAATGGGAGCTGCAGAGCTAGCACTCAGGTGTGGGCAGCACGTGGAGCCTCCCTGGCCCCCCATGCTCTAGAGTCTGCAGGACCTGGCAGACGCTTCCAGGAGCCACGCAGAACCAAAGCAGGTAGGGAGCACTGGGAGGGAGGGGGAGAAGTTGATCAGTGGAGCCTGCGGACCCCCGAGATACCCTCACAGACCCCGAGAGTCACAGAACCCAGTTTGAGAAACACTGTTCTAGTTCATGTACAGAGTAAAGAATTAATAAAAGTTGAGGTGCTTATGTAGTGTGATCTATAGATTACTTAAGAATTCCCAGTTATCACTTTGAGAATTGACAGGTTTGTGTTCCAAGATCAGGTCCATTAATATTCAAATTATTATATAGTTGGGAACCCCGATATGCACAGTTGCAACACTCACTATAGGAACTCCGGTATATTTACAAATAGCGGCTAGTGAACACATATTAAAACTACTTTTCATATGGTTTATTTTCTATCCATTGCCTATTACAGACAAAATATTAAAATACAATTTGTTAATATAAATTCGTTGTATACACGTTCAACAGCTCAATGAGCATGGTACAAATACATAGGGGTAAAGAGAACCGTTCCCACACACTCCAATTAAGAATTAATGCCAGTCTTGCCTGACTACTGATGGTAATATTAAATACATATTGATAAAATCAGTACACCTCTACCCCGATATAACGCTGTTCTCGGGAGCCAAAAAATCTTACCGCATTATAGGTGAAGCCGCGTTATATTGAACTTGCTTTGATCCGCCGGAGTGCGCAGCCTCTCCCCCCCCCCCCCCCCCCAAGCGCTGCTTTACCGCATTATATCCGAAATCATGTTATATTGGGTCACGTTATATCGGGGTAGAGGTGTATTAACTTTACTAAAATTAGTAGTACTTTACAGGGGAACTGTGAAACTAAGATTGAGTAAAATTCAGAAATGTACTAAACATTCCCCTCTTGCAGTCACGCAGAGGCCTGGGTTATTAAACAAAAATGTTTGGTTTTATTATCAAAATCATCGTTGGGTTCCATGTCTATCCTTCAGGCTAATTAGAGACATCCTGAATACTTCTTTCTTGGATGTCACCAACACTGGCAGTCACAGGCAACAAATGACTCTTCCAGATCTGTAACATTTCAAGCTGAAGATTCTAAGGGTGTCTTCGGTGAACTCAGAAAAACTTATAGGGACACCTAAATGCTTCCTGTGGCCTTGTTAGCAAGAGGCACTTTTCCACATATTTCAGGACATGACTTAATTTAGCATTGCACCTCATAATATGTCTAAGTACTGTGAATTTAAGGTGGAAATCAAAGCATACACAGATTCCATTGGAGCAGTTTTACTGACACAAAACCAGGTCCAAATGAGTCTTAAATATTACTGTAATGGTATAGTGTTCAAGTATAACACATGTATTTTAACATATTATGGGTCAGGCTTGCATTTTTATAATGAAAGCACTTACAGATATTGCGTCTCAGTTGTAATGCTGCCCGAAATTCTGAATAGAGGCTGTGAAACTAGCAGAATCTTGTTAATTTTAATATGCTGCTTAGAAAATATATGAGGTAATGTCTGCAGGCTCAGGAAGACAATTTTGTGCTGGTTCCTATTTAAAAGATTTTCTTTACAACTAGGAAGCGAGAGATTTTTTAAAAAGATAAAAGCTTACATTCTGTAGCAACTGATCCCTTAGCTGGCATCATCAATAGATACATTTACTAGGGAAAACGTCCTCCTCACCAGCAGTGAGTCAATGTACACACAAGCACACACATTTAAGAATACATATCTCTGTCAGAATCATGTAAATCTCCATGGCCAGAATCAACATGTGTCAATAAGGCACCAACTTCATTGATTATAACATTTATTTTGACTCCTGAGAGCCGTGACAATTATAAAGTCTAAATCTGTTAATGTAATGTTAAGAATTGGAACATACAAACACACAACAAGGAGCATCCTCCTTCACTGAACAAGTATCACCTTGTCTGCCTTAGGAAATAAAGAAAGAAAGCAGCACTTTTACCTGTGGGTAAAATAAATCCACAAAACAGGTTTAGATCAGTCTTGTAAAATTCTATTCACTTGAAGCAAATCATTTTTAAGTGGCAAGTAAAATATTTAGTCTTTCAATCTAGAAGAATGGACAAAGAGAATGCGTTCCTAGATTGGTAAGTTTTCATGGCAATTTTTCAAGTTTGATTTAGACAATATTAAAGGTGGGGCTAGAGAGGGGAAAACAAATCAGTCACCTTAACACTTGGCTCTTATATAGCACTTCTCCTCCCTTAGATCTTATCCACCATGTGCCTAAGTATTACAACATATTTGATCCTTTCTTTCATTACACTAGGCAACGTCACATGCCCTAGGTAGTTCTTTACAAATTAACTAACTCAATTTTTCAAGCAGTTCCAGTGTTCTCAAGAGTTGTCCGAGAGCCCTGGAAACTCAACTCAGTTAACCCACCAAACAACAGGTACAATACATACAGCAAAAGAGTAGGCTTTCCTACACCTACTTTCCCACCCAACAACATGCTTCAAACTTGACCCAGACAGGTCACTGCCAGAGGCAAGGGGATAGTTTGGACTCCATGTCTATTTAATCCCTGGATGCTCCATCTGCAAACAGGGAGATTCAATTAGTAGTAAATCTGGTGATGGTTTGTGAGGTGGTCACCTACCCCCAGGAAATCAGCTGAAATCACCTACTCATTTCACATTGGCCAGGTTGCTCTGGGAGGATGCAAGACCTCAGGCTGCCAGGCAGGGAATTCAGCTCTGAGTTGTCCTCTCCTCTCCTGCCCTACTGCTAAAGAGGAAGGCCTATGTTATAGAGTTTGCATGGAACATGGGGACTCCCAACCTCTAATTCCCATCAGATGGTTACTGTTTTTTTGGTCATCACTAACCTGATCTACATTCAAACTTGTTACCCAAACTTTGTCTATATGTGGAATTAGCCCCAATTCAGCCACTGCTGGCCAACAAATGTTGTAAGTGCACCAGTGCAAACCCCAATCATAGACAAAGTTGTGATTTGCAGCCACTGAGCTCAACCTGGTGTCAAGCTGGGATAAGCTCAACCAGTGCACATTACAGCTTCCTTTATCAATGGAAGTAGACAGTGGTGTGGCTACATCGGTTGTTGGCTACTGATGACTGTATCCCACATATAGAGAAGACCCAATAAGCAAAATCTCATTACCAATCCAAGCCATGCAGTTCCTCATGTGACTGTTGCTGGTGCCCCTGAAGGGCCATAAAAAAAAACCAACAGACAGGTCTTACCAGGTTAAGAAGTGTATACAGACTTCTTCCTCCCACCCTTTAGCAGGTTAAGTATACAGATGTTGAGTTTAACAGGGTGAGAGCTGTATGCAGAAATACTCATATTCCTTAGCAGGCCAAGAGCCATGCTCTGGTACCTTGTCCCCAACACCAATTTACCTTGTCCTGAGGGCCTGCCAGGCTGCGTCTATGTCTGCATACAGGTTTTTCTCAGAGGGTTTGCCTGAGCTCACCCCGTAGCCAGAGTAGTCGTAGGAGAAGACGTTGCAGTTGATGCGAGAGCCAAGGCCAATGTAGAAGCTGCACATCTGGCCCAGATCCACAGCATTGCCATGCGAGAAGAGCAGCGTATACCGGCTGGCAGGGGCACAGCGCACAAACATGCACCCCAGCCTGTTATCCCGAGATGTGCGAGAAAAGAAAACCTCTACGGCATCCAACTCCCGCTGTGAATACTGCCAGTCCGCCCGCTCACTCAAGTGCAGACTGCAGCTGCCCGTTCCTGTTGGGGTCCCAGACCCTGCTGCTGCAGCCCCAGCCTCCTGCTGCTGCTGCTCAGGCTGCAGCACTGTATACGTGGGCTCCGGGGGCAAGAAAGCCAACTTGGCAGCAATGCGGCTAGGGCAAGGTGGGCAGCAGAACAGCCAGCACAGCTCGCCCAGAGAGAAACCGTTCATTCTGGGGCCTTGTTCTGGCATCAGCGACGCTGGAGAAAAATTTACCCACACTGGGGGAAAAAAATTCAGAGTCCACCCACAGCAACCCACTCTCAGCCTTGCGAGAGCAACACCCCCAAAATGCAAAATGCAACTGTCCCACCAAAACTGTAAGCCACCAGAACCAATCCAGCCCTCCAAATCTAAGAAATCCACCTAGTGTGTGGGGGGGAGGGAATGCAAAATATAAATCAAGTGCAACCCTCCTTCAAAATCTACTACAATAAATCCAACCCCCCCAAATGGGCTGAAATCACCTAGTCATTTCACACAGCCCAGGTTGCTCTGGAGCGCCTAAAAAAATATATATATATATCAAGCCCCCCAAATCTACATCTGTCTCAGTGCAGCTCCCCAAAACCAGAAATTAAAAGCTAATCCCCCTCAAATAAGACCCCCCCCCCCTAAAACCACCAAAAAAAATCCCCCCCCCCAAAAAAAACCCACCAAACGCAACTCCTCACAATAACCTCAACGCACCACCCCAGCTCTGCACCCAGTGCCTGGCCCAATCCTGCAGCCCCTCAGTGGAGCCCAACCCCAAACACCGACCAACTGCAACCGGTCCCCAGACCCCGGCCCCCCAGAGCCCGGCAGCGCCACACACAGCCCCGAGCGGATCGACCCCCCCGGCAGACCCTCGCTGAAGGGCGTCCGGCCGCGGAGCGGGCTCAGCCTCGGCTCCCCCCGGGCAGGGCCATGCCGGCTGCGGCGCGGAGACAGTAGCAGGCAGCGGCCATGTCCCGGCTCCCCTCACCGCTTCCGGGTTAGGAGGGGCGCCCGGCCCGCCCCGGTACCTGCGGAGCGGCGCACACCAGCTGGGCACAGCGCCCGGCCCGGCCGCCCACAGGCCCCGCCGCGCGGCTCGCTGCTGCCCCCTAACCCAGCGCGAGGGCACAGGCGGGGAGGGGGCGCAGTAGCCGCAGCGCTAGAGAGAACCCGGACCCTCCGCGGGGGGAGCGGTCGGACCCGCCTCCTGGCCCTTTAAGAGAACCCCACGAGAGCCTCCGTCACGTGCGAGGGCCCCCCTCTCTGGCGCCCCTGGCCCATCTCCTCTACGCATGCGCTGCAAGGCTCGTGTGCTTTCCCCCCCTGGCTGGAGAATAGGTGCTTCGGGCAGCAGCTCTGTCCTAGTTGGGGGGAGGGGGGGAGACTTCCCTCTCTCTCCCTTCCCCCCCCCCCCCGCCCCACGTGGGATTCTTCATGGAGAGGGGTTGACTTGCTTCCCCCAGCTCCTTCTGCCCCTGCTCAGGGCTCTTGCCTGGTTTGCTTGTACGGTTTGCCCCATCCCCCTAAATAATGCTGTGGCCTCTGGACTCTCCCCAGGGCCCACAAGCCCAGTAATAAATACATGCATCTGTGCTGGAACTGGGATTGCTGCTGCACCCCCTGGCTTGAAGTGGTTTCCAGTATATACTGGGTTTACAGTTTGGTTCAATAGCTCTCAGCACCCCCGCTATACAAATTGTTCCTGCACCCCTGAAGACATGCAATTAAGGGTGAGACACTGAAACTCTTATACCTAAAAATAAAATACTGTAGGTCACAGGCCCTTATATCATCCCTAAAAGCTCCCCGCAAACATTATGCATGTGCTCAACTTTTAAGTACATGAGCCATCTGGCAGAAGGCAATGGTGTACACCTCCCAACCCTTCAAGTGGCTAACTGAGCTGCAGACACCAATCTATGGAGAGGTGGATGGGCCAATCCTCTGGGCCACTCTGAATACTGGAAATGTTCTGCTTCAACCTGGATGGGGGTTTGTGGGTCAAAGCAGGACAGTCTTGCAAAATCTGGGACTGTTGGGAAGTCTGCAGTATTGGTTTTTTTGTTTTGTTTTGTTTCCATTAAAAAATGTAATAAAAACATGTATACAAAGGTGTCATTGACATGTGATGTTCTCTTGCCTTTAGAATGAAAGAACCACAAAAGATAATTACCAAATAATCTTTACTGTAATCTTGCAGACAATGAGAGATTCAAGTAGCATATGAGTCCAGGCTCCGGCTTCATCACAGGAGCCCAGGCTCCAGACTCAGGACAGCTTTTAAATGATAGTATAACAAGCAACTCCTGCTCTGAAGAATGTATATAGCTGGTACTGTATGGGTTTAGCAAATGCAGAATAACTGAATGAACCTATCCTGTGCAGTTCCTTGAAGTCTATAAGCAGCATCTCATAACACAAAGCCCTATAAAAAAAACAATACAGATATTCTTGTGCAGAGATGGTATGGTGGGCTCATCATACCCTGATAAGTAATCTGGCTGCTCAGTTCTGAATAAGGTGAAATCTGTCAAGCAATGCCTTTTTGTGTCACATCTAGAGTGACACCGAAACTGGGATAAGAGTTGGAAGTTTGGATTCCAACTTAGCTGTAAGCATGCCACATGGGATAAGTCAGTGTAAAATTTCTTGGACCACGTCATATCACTAAAACATCTAAAAGGGGCTATGACATGCAAGGGACCAGGCAGCAAAGGCTGAACACTTACATCATAAATAAATTACTACTGCAAACAGAAGAAAATTAAAGAGACAACATTTCCCATATGCAGTGTTGTAGCTGTGTTGATTCCAGGATATTAGAGAGACAAGGTGAGTGAAGTAATGTCTTTTATTGGACCAAATTCTGTTGGTGCTTGTCTCTCTCGCCAACAGAAGTTGGTCCAGTAAAAGATATTACCTCACCGACCTTCTCTAACATTTCCCATACTCCACCCTGAGTCCTTCCTTAGGTCATATTTATAAGAGTGAGAGTCAAGTATCCTCTTCTAAATGGGAAGTGTCATGTAATTTGCTCCTCCATTGAACTTGTCTGTGTACATGTAATTAATTAGTAGCTCTTCATTGTTCTTGTAAATTCTCTACCATTTAGGATAAGCCCACTCTATCTCTTTGGGTACGTCTATACTTACCTCCGGGTCCGGCGGTAAGCAATCGATCTTCTGGGATCGATTTATCGTGTCTTGTCTAGACATGATAAATCGATCCCAGATCGATCCCGGAAGTGCTCGCCGTCGACGCTGGTACTCTTGCTCTGCAAGAGGAGTACGCGGAGTCGACGGGGGAGCCTGCCTGCCGCGTGTGGACCCGCGGTAAGTTCGAACTAAGATACTTCGACTTCAGCTACGTTATTCACATAGCTGAAGTTGTGTATCTTAGTTCGAAGTGGGGGGTTAGTGTGGACCAGCCCTTGTACAAAAAAAAGTAGTTCCTACACTGTGGGTGTCTCCTAGAGAAAAACAACAATTGCATAGGGCTGGACGAGTGAAGAGAATAGCAAAAAGGAAATCATCTTGAAAAGGGAAGGGTAGGGAATAAGGAGCAGAAAGCAGTTCTGAAGGCAAACAGTAATACTATACTGCTGATATCACATCAAGGTGTATGCACAGGATAAAGTTAATATAACATTCAATGAAATAAAATGATTGGGACTTAAACTGATCACTCACTTGGCGAATATCCAATATTCCTGAGTTTCAAAAAGAGACATGTAGCTTCTCTTGCGTGCATGTAAAATCGTGGTGTGAAGACCAAGGGACACCCTTATCCACACCTTTGTGCACCTGCTCATGAGGCAGCCAAAATGTGGCTATGACCCTAATCTTCCCAGCATAGCAGTCAATGCTGAGAGGGTTGTGCAGCACCCTACATAGCTGAGGCACGCATACACACACACCCTACACAGCTGAGGACACCCCCCCCCCCCCATACAGCTGAGGCAGACACACACAGGCACACATACACCCCTACCTGATCCTGGGGCCAATAGAGACTTGGTTTGGCCTCCAGCACAACTTAGAGCAGTCTCAAAGCTGCTCTACGTTATGCCAGGCTGCAACAGCCCCCAAAGGACCAGTCTAGCAGCTTGGGATTGCCAGAATACAATGGTGCTGTGGCCATGCTCCCTCACCCCAAGCTATGCCTATAATACACCCTTTGTTAAGAGCCAACATAAAGAGCTGCACAGAGAAAACCATTTGCAGTGCCCAAGAAAAAGTTTTATTGGTCCTACAAAATCCAGAAACTACACTACATATTCATGAGCACCATCTACCAGCACCTTATCCGTTAACTATTTCCAGATACACAGATATAGAGCTCTCTTGTAAAAACCCCTACACTGATTCTACATCACCTGGGGATTCCCCTGCTGGGATTGTGCGTGCATTAAAGCTGCTTCATGACACCAGAGCTCAGGAAGTGCAAAGGGAGCAGAAACTATCTGCATTTCCCATGCTGGAGATTCCCTGGTGCCAGGGAGTCCCCAGAAAGCATACAGCGGGTGGGCTACACCAGTTCCTGCACTTCCACCTTGGCGTCAGGGGTAGAAGGGCAATGGGCAGGGGGTGCCCTGTTAACATTTATAATTCTCAAAAGCTGAAATTGTTATTTAAAGAGCTGCTTTCCTGGATCTTTCTTTTGTGTATTCCTCTTAGTGCTATTAGCTCAGCAGTTTGCCTCTTGTGCTTCTCTCTGTCTTTTTCCCTCAGCGTTTCCTTTGCCCTGTTTTGTTTCTTTTCTCTTTCATAGTCCACCCAGCAGGTAGCTGCATAATTTTTACTTGACCAAATACTGTGAAAACACTCAAGAAAAACAAATATTTCTGCTTGTTACGGCAGAGCTTGTCTCTGTAATGATCTGTAAATAAAGATGTTCCCACTGCTGTGCATTGTAACTAGCACAACACTAAGATTAACTGAACAAAGAGCACAGCTTCATTGCTGAACTTTAATAGTTGACCCGCAGCAGTGATATGTGCTGGGGTTTAATAACTGGGTAGCTGTTTAAATCCCCTAGAGATGGGATGTAACCCACTGGAAAATTTGTGTCTGCGGAACTTCTGTCAGATTTGATTTACTGGTGAAGGTGGCAGTAGAAGGCCTGAGGAAGAGTGGTGGCAAGCCCCTCCAAACAGCTATCTACAAGACAGTTACATTACTTCCCTTAGTAACAAATAGGCCACATCATTCTTATCTAGATATTTATTATTTCTTTTGTGTTCCTCTGGTCTTGTCCTGCCAGCTACAAAGGCAGAATACTTGCCATTCCCTTTCCTCTTTCTCGGAACATCAGATATAAGAAAGATCAGGCAAAGAAACAGTGAACGTGAGGTCAGAGAAGATGCCTGGCAGCAGTAATGTGTAGAATATGTATCTTACACAATAATCACACCTGGTTTGTCCCAGCAAAAGAATGTGATTGTTAGAGCTGGGCAAACAGTTCACATCAAACACCCAAAACTGTGTGACATACATAAGAACAGCCAGACTGGGGTCAGACCATGGTCCATCTAAGCCAGCATCCTGTCTTCCAATAGGGGCAATGCCAGGTGCCCTAGAGGGAATGAACATAACAGGGCAATCATCGAGTGATCCATC